ATGTTTACTAAATAGAATGAAAACTAAATACAATTTGGGTGAAGATTGTAATGTTTGGTCATTTAAGTGTTTCTCCACTAGATGGCTTGGTATATATGTCAGCCATGGTTGTTTTAGTTTGTGATTCCTGACCAGCGAAGAAGTCAGTGATTTTCTAGAAGATGTAGCTCTATGTAAATGCTGGAAGTTGCCGCAGTTCAGAATTAAAGTTATATATAAGGAAATCGAATCTACAGTCGTCTTTTTCAGCAAGATTGGATGTTTCAGCTAAATCCAAAACACCCTTAGTAATGAGGAGTCGTTGTGGACCCGTCTTAACAGGACATGATGTTTAGGCCTGTCGCGATAATTAATAAATCAATTTATTGCATGATAAATAAAAACTATTCACGTCATTTAATAAATCGGCTATATCGTCTCTGCCTGTGTTTTAAATTATAATGATAGTAACTCAATATATTGAGATGCTATCTCATTATAATGAGATTATTTTTTTTATCTTTTTTTTAACAGAGTGGCGGAAACGGGCTTCCATACAAATAAAACATCTGAATCACCAGGAAAAAAAGGTGTTATTGAAAGAAAAGTTCTGGAATGTCCCATTAAGCCCAGTACTTAATTCAACACAAAAAAACAAACCTACTGAGGGACTTAAGAGATTTCCAAAGAGATTTTTGAATCTTAAATTGGTAAAAGTTTTGCAATGATGCTGGATAATTATTAAAAGAATTATACAGCGTCATTCAATACCAGTTTATGCAGCGACTTTTGCTCTCTACTATTCTTTACGACAATATTAAGGATTTATTTGAGTAAAGCGCAATAAAAATAATGATGGTTCAAGGTTTCAGGACAATATTATTTCATCCATTCATATTCTTAACCTGTTTTTAACTCTAAAACGGTCGAATTAAAGACGAAAAACAAAAATTGTGGCACCTTAACAAGATTCAGCTGCTGCTTGCGTCCTTCGTACGCATTGAGATGCTGGCTGACCGTGTCCAGAAAAGCCCTGATGTTTGTCTGCAAGTTGCTCTTCGTGGCGAGGTCATCCAGAGGAATGAAGGGGGGGATGTTATGGCGACTGATCCTCACTCTAGGCTTCACATCCATCTCCAGGTTGTAGGAGCTCAAATACACACCATCGTACACAGTTGTGAGAGTGAAGCACATGCCTTGACCTTTTCGGGTTTTAACAGCGTTATATCCGCCTGGTGAAATCAGAATACAACATCAAAAAATGGGATTCACAAATAAAAACAGCAATTAGAAAGGAAAGCTAAAAGAAAAAAATCTATCTTAGCTGGTGTTTTTACCAATAAGCTGATGAGCATGAAGAAGATCCGACAGCTCAGAGTGTCTGGCCATCAGACGTAACAACTCAGAGCTTTCAAAGTCTACATCCATTTCCTCCTCTTCTCCATTTGTTTGCCGTTTGTCTACAGCAGCCCTCAGTTTCTGGAGATGCTGACAGGGGGAGGTAAATGTACACAGAACATTTTTTACTCTTTAAGGTCAATAATCTGAGGGTTTAGACTTTGATTTTTGCTTCAGGTTTCATAATAAATACAGATAAGAGTGAGAAGAAGCAAATCCCTGGCTGAGGAAAACTATGACAAACGCATAGAAAGTCCTCAGTCCTTCATACCCTGACCATCTCCTGAGACCTATATTATAATATTATTATATTATTGTGAATCTGTTGATAGTTTATGTGGAGATTAGGGCTGAAACCAATGACTATATTGCCAATCGATTAATCTGCCAAGTATTTTTCCGATTAATTGATTAAAAATTGTATAGCCAAATGATCCTTAAAGAAGAAAAAAAAACTTGTTTTATCTTTATACATACTCCAGTTAACGATTAATTTATTACTGAATTATTTGATGATCATTTAAATACTCAATTAATCCAATTAATTGATTCAGCGCTAGTGGAGATAATGATCATTTATTTAATATTCTGTATATTAGCCAACATAAGTGGCCATTTAACAGTAAAAAAAAAAAATACATGAAAAAAATACAAGTAGCTTGTAAAACGAAGCACTACTGCAGGTCATATATCTCTGCTGCCATCAGAATCTACAATGCGACACTACAACAGCAATTACGTGTGCTATGTACAATGTGGAGTCACAATTTAATATCCTGTGCAATAACCTGTGTCTTAATATTTGATACTGAGTGCTTCTGTCTCCTTGAACCCCAGTCGGCCTCAGCAGATGGCCGCTCACACTG